CCCTGAAGAACCCTGATTAATATACCCACCCACCTCCACTTACCAGCCAACTCTAAATTAGCCTACTAAAAGGCACAGTGCTTGCTATTTAAATGTAGCTTCAAAAGCCCTTCTGCACAAAATTTCTGGAGTTGTCATGGGTCACAAGGACTGTGTTAATTAGCGTATAACAGTATCATGAAGTTGAGAATACTTTATATTCCTTAAATACAGAATTAATTATTCTTTAAATATTCCACTTAGTCTGATTCTGCTTCTAGTGCTGTGTATTCCCTAAATACAAAATGGGAATGTTTCTTATTTTGATTCCTCTTAGATTTTGTACTGACAAATAGGGGAACTTCACAGCATCAGCATTAGAATCTCCCAGAAACTCTGTATCAGCTCATCTTTCCTCAGAGGCAAAAAGAAAAAGTGACCTATTTGTTAAGTCTGTTGTTCATTTTCATATGTGTAGCACTAATTAACGTTAAAAAGCTCCACCTCCCTCCTTATAACCTTGGTAATAGCTGGATATTAAAATAACATAGTCCAACTATAGTCAATGAGCAGCTTCAGGATAGAAATTACATTGTTGATGCCCAAGATATTTCAACAGAGAAGATATACTGAAGTTTCTGTGAGTCATTTATGATTTCAAGTTAATAGTATAATGCTGAGTTTTTGTAAGTTAACTTATAAGCAAGCACATTGAAAGAAGATAATTCATAAACCAAACTGCCCTTCATGAGATCAGATGTCATGTTTTATATTCTGTATTTCCTCTCTTGTGCCAAAAGACCTTGGCTGGACAAACTCTAAATAGAAGGGTGTTTTGGGGAGGGAGTGCTTGGCCTTTTTTCATATGATGTATATTTTTTTTCACTAGGAAGTGATGAGGTAGATAAACTCACGATGGGGTTTCTACGGTATAGTCCTTCAAGAACCTGACTAATTCATTACAAATTAAGCCAAAGGAAGGAGTGTAAACAAGCAATAGTTTACAAAATGCATGTATTTGAAATTTCAACCTGGAGAGATTATGCATGCAATATACTTGGTAGTATTTCTGTTAGAAAATGGAGGAAGCATGCTTCTCAGTGTCCAAAGATGGGAAAACAGTTATAATTAGGTGTCATCACTATCAATTTAATTAGGTTTTCAAAGAGGGGGTCGGTCCACCTCACCTCTTGGAAACAGACATCAGGTCATGGCATAGAACTTGGTCATGCCTGAACCTCTGATTGTGTATCTTCCAACCAAGAAGGCAGGTTTCAGCTGCCTGGGCTTTAGAAGCAAAAGAAATTCCATCAGTGAGACATCAGAGCAGTCTGACTTTTATTTAAAATTACTTTCAGAAAAAATAAAAATAAAAAGATCTTTGTTGAAAAACCTCCTGAATGATTTCTAACACTTGGACTTTTGAATTTTTCATTTCAGAGGTAAAAAGTGAGTTTGTAAATCCAGGTCCAGAAAGTGGAAAGTAATATCTATTAATTGATGAGGGTCCCTAAAATACATGATGCTCAAACTAAGCTCTGCACAAAATGACTTCTCTAGATTTGATGAACAAAATTTCCTCTTGTGATGGAAAAAAACTAAAACTTAAAAAAAAAATGAAAGTTGATGAGTGAGCCTTAACCTTTATTGATGTGTAGTTCAGGTAAGGTACCCATGTAATCTAAATATAAATCAAGAAATAGTTTATTTCGGACCAGTACTTAACAGGAATACAAATTAGAGCATCTGGGATTTTTCCTTAACATGTCAAGATTTCATTTGGCATTTAAGACAATAATTAGATGGCCTTCAATAGTATTACGAAATTTCATTTACATTTGGAGAGATTACACTTTATCTTCAAACATCGGTTTCTTATCTGTTGTTTTAGTATTGAGAACCTGCGTTTTTCATACATTCAGACTGAAGCGTGTCATTGTCTTCATTTGATTCACTTCAGTTCAGCAAGTGTGCCTGAGTGTCAGCTGTGCTCTGGGATCTGTGCTAGAAACAAGGCTGTTGAGTCTAGTCTTTCCTCAGTTCTGCACAGTAGTGATAAACCTGTGTTCACCCATAATGGAAGTGCAACTTAAAAAAAAACTCTGGGAGAATAGGGGAAGGAACAAATGTCTTGATTTCTGTTTAAGCTGGGCTTAAAATAGTGAATAAGATTTTACCAACGCATTTCTCCATTTCTCTCACCATACGTTCCTCCTGTTCATTCTCCTTGCAATCAGATTTTATTTTCTGAATGAATATAAAATTATTCCCTTCCCTGCTTACATTTTCGTATGGCTTCCTATTGCACTTCCACTGTCCTCTCCAAGGCATTCAGGGCCCTCCACTATCTGGCTGTGGCCTTTCCAGCCTCCTCTTACCTGGTTTTCTGCTCTGCCCGACTCAATCTGGTCTTCATTTTCTTCACAGTCGAAGCCCAAAGAGGCCCTGGCATCTGCTGTTACCACTGCATGGAATTTCCTCCCCCATATCTTTAATAGATTGTTCCTTCTCCTCATTCAGCTAGCAGCATAAATGCCACCTTCTCAGACAGGCCTTTCTGGACCTTGCTATTTAAGCCTTCTCTAAAATGCCACCTAGCTTTGTTTTCTTCCTAGCATTATCTGAAAATATTGTACTTACTTTTTTACGGTCGGTCCTGCCACAACTACCTCTATGCCCAGGGAATGTAATCTTCGAGACAGAAGGAACCTCATTTGTCATGTTTGCAATGTATTCCCACTTCTAGAACAGGGCCTGGCACACCCCAGAAGCTCAGTAATCTTCGTTGAACGAATGAATCATGATCATTACCTTTCAGATTCTTTTTCCATTTTAAATAGTAGTGAAGAATCTAGTTGAGTTTTCTCTTTGTACAATTAAGAATATCGATTTATATTTCAGTTCAATTTTACCAACATAATGATCAGTTCTTAAAAGAAGGCCAAATCTAACATAATAAAAAAAGATATAGGAAGTGCTCATGGTGTCTATTTCTGAGTCCTTGGCCAGTGCTGTTGGCCTCTCATGATGCTAAATTCACAAATGTAAGGAAAATTAAAAACAAATTACCTCCTCCTCTTTTTATGTTTTCCACAGTACCATTGTCTTTGAGTGTTCCCCAAAGGGGGTACACAGGGTCAGTTTGCATATAACTAGCAGGGTTTTAACACTATTTCAGTTTTGTTGCAATCTTCCCTTTATGGGAAGGCTAACATTCCAGTATTATTAAAAATGCAAACCAATAAGACATGAAATGGCTTGCTTATTGCTAACATTTATGCAAAACCACTTAAAATGTTAAAAAATATTAATCCCCTACCCTATGTAGCAATTAATGCTGCACAGATGATGACAATTGTTTTTTTGGCTGGAAAATCACCAGCAGTCCACATTCTCATCTTCTGCTTAATTAACACAACTATATATATCCTTCAAAGTCAGGAAACTGGTGTAATTGCTTTTGTAAATTCAACTAGTTTCCAATGAAGAACAGATTGCTAAATTAAATGCAAATAATTTGAAGTTTTTAAAATATCAAGAATATAAGTATTTTTGCCCCTGTATAGTATGAGGTGACCCAAAGGTCAGGGAAAGAAAAGAAAAAGAAAGAATTCTTGGACTTGTCTTTGATTATCTGTTGAGATACTATGTACATTTTAAAGACCATTTGTCAGGCAGACATCATGTTATATAAAATAATTATGCTTTATAATCAGCCACAACATTGTTCACAACACAAATGTGTGCTGAATTGGTTTGGAATCAAAGGTTGTGTGTGTGTGTGTGTGTGTGTGTGTGTGTGTGTAAAATAGCCCTAAAGTTTCTGAAAAGCAGAAGAAAATAAGGATTGCAGAAACAAGGTAGAAAATGATTTTTTAAATTTTGTACTTATTTATTTATTTTTATCTAGAGAAGATAAAAGAAAGGACAGTGGGGAAGTGGAAAAAGAGAGAGGCCAAAAAGCAGAGGTCAAAGATCAGGAGATACACACACATACAGTAGATCTGTATTTGTCGATTTTCCTACTTACTAAAATTTATTTGTAATCCCCAAATCAATATTTTAGGCACTTTCCTGATCATTCTCAAATATACACATATGAAGAGCAGTGAGGAATTTGAGTTGCTGGACACTCACTTTCCGAGAAGAGGCTAAGTAAGGTGATGTTCTGCCTCCTTGTTTCAGCTGTCACACTATAAACATGTCCTGTTTGGGGTATATTCAGTGCTGTATTTTTGAATATTTGTGCTTTTTGTTGGTGCCTAACTATTTATAATGGTCCACAGGCATAGTGCTGGAGTGCTGTGTAGTGTTCCTTAGAGAAAGAAGGCTGTGATGTGCCTCACAGAGAAAACGTGTATGGGATAAGCTTCATTTAAGCATGAGTTACAAGCTGTTGGCTATGAGTTTACTGTTAATGGATCAAAAATCTATGTTAAATAAGGTATTTTTAAAGAGTAACACACATGAAACAAGGTTGTATATTAATCTGTTGACAAAAATGTTGCAAGCAGAGGCTCACAGGAACGTAGCCCTGTATTTTCCTTAGGAGCAATGATTCAGTATTAACTAATTCAGTTTTGTAGTGGCTTTATAAACATAACTACTGTGAGTAATAAGAATCAACTCTGAGTGTGTGTGTGTATACAGATGTCTTTGTACTCAGTTGATTCTTATTCTCAGTAATTATATATGTATAGATAAAGAGAAGCAGGGTTAGAGAGAAAGAGAAAAAGAGAAGGAAAAAGTT